AGTGTTTCTCTTTTAGGGAGCATTTCAAAACTCTTGCTTCTCTTGTCCTTTGTCCCACCAATCAAGAGAACTCAGGTTCTGCTTTACGGTCAGTAAGTGATTCCAAGACTCCTCTTTTTTACTCCTTCAAAAACATATTGAGATATGATCTGGAACACAACTAAATCCAGTATAGATAGTTCTCAACATTCAGCCATTTGTTTAGTGACCATTCAAAGTTACAATGGCACTGAAAAAAGTGACTGCGTTTCATACTTATGGCTGTTGCGATATCCCCATGGTCACATGATCAAAATTAAAACACTATGTGTTTATAACAGTTTCAGTGTCCCAAGATCATATGATCATTTTTTTTGACCTTCTGGCAATCAAACTCAGTGGGGAGGCCAAATTCATTCAGCAACTGTGTTACTAACTTAACTGTGTTACTAACTTAACTGTGTTACTAACTTAACTGTGTTACTAACTGCAGTGGTTCACTTCACAGCTGTGGCAAGAAAGGTTGTAAAATGGGGCAAAACTCACTTAAACAGCTGTCTTGCTCAGCAATGAACATTTGTGCTCACCTGTGGTCATAAGTTGAGGACCTCTGTTTGAAATTGCTCATCTGAGGAAAAAAATATAGGAATTCTTGTTAATAATACAAATAATTCGAAAGATATTCCATTTGGATTCCAAAAATTGCTTCCAGACCGACCATAGTAATGATTGTAGAGATAAAAAATGTAATTGCTCAATTGAGTTTGAGAAAAGTTCCAAGAAATGACTTAATACCCCTTGAGAAAACTATGGAAAAATGTAGGGTGGTGTTCTTTTTTTAATTTTTAAAAATTAATTGTTAGTCAGTAGTATGGTCATGGAGGAATGTAATCCCCATCTTTAAAAAAAAGATAGCGGAGTTATTCTGCTAAATATAAATTTCTTAATACCATGATTAAGTCTACTAGTAAACATTACCCTAGTCACCTATTCTATGGAATCTGAACGACTGAACCTGGCAGGACAATCTCCTGGCAGAGGAATATAATGTTTATGTATTTTAAGGTAACACTGGATTCTATTTATTGCAATAAGGTTTGAGCTTAACTGAACACCTGCTATTTGTGAACTTCATATGCAGATAACTTATTGAAAGTTTGAAACAACTCTCAGGGACGCTTAACAACTGCTGTTATCCCCTGAAAGAGAGTGAAGCAGGACTGCATTCTGGTTCAATTATTATTTAACTTAAATAAATAAATATATTTTTTTAAAAACAGATAAAAGCAAGGCTAAAACAATGGAGTGCTATTTTACAGTTATATATAAATAATGTTATTATTTAAATAATTTAGACTAGTTGACATCTTGCTGTATGCAGATGAAGCAGTTATTTTTCCAGAATCTCTATTAGAAGAGCCTTTTTTTCCCAAATAAGTTTTTTTATTTTTCAATATAAACATACATATTTTGTGGGCATTGCACTGACTGGGGCAAATCTTTTTTAAGCAACAGTAAAAATAATAATACAGTACAAATAGGTATATGTAATTCTAATCTTCCAACTTCCACAAATTCAACAGGGCTAATCTTTTTTCATAATCCATTTCTCATTTTCCCATTAGTTTATTTAAACATAAATAATATTTCTTTGCTCCTTGTATTTATAGTCCCTAAATACTATTATTTAATATTTTTAAAGAATTATTCATAGTTCCACCATAACTTTAATATTCCAATTGTGTAGGGTTAATAATACTAAACATGAACAATATTTAATCAATCCCAGTAGTGTATCTCAAAATCCCACACAATTTCTAGTCCTTAATATTTTAAATTCATAATATACTTGAACACACTATTAATATTAATAATATAGTTTAATTACCTAATCCTGAATTCCCATCTACTGTCTTGACTTACTAATAGAAAATATAATTTAATAATATAATCCAAATAAGACTTAGAAGAGCCTTGAGAACCCTGGTGCTGTTCTACAAGGAGAAGTTGGATATTAATTTTATGTAAAAACAAAATTATGGCTTTTACCAGCTCATATAGGTAGATAACAAGCTTCAAGTATTGCAAGCAGAGGATATTTCGTTCTTCTGGTGGCAGGAAGGCACAAGCAACTACTCTCCCTAGAAATACCATCTTTCCATTTCAAAGATCAAAAGGTAGCAATTACCTCCTAACAGCTCTTGGGCTATTTCAAGTCAACATATCGGCATGGATGCTCTAAGAGGAGTTAGGATCCTTCTCTAATATCAAATTCATAAGATGTGTTCAGGCTACATTTTTAATGAATTAGGCTCTGAGACATGTCTGTCATCAGTCCTGTATCTTGAGTTGAAACTAAAGGCTAGGGTATGAGCAGCTATGATTAAATGCTGGCTAAAAAGGTCTCGTTTTCTTGTCGTTGGAGGTGGTTTGCAATCTTCGTAGATAAAGAGACCGATGCTGGAGGTTGGAATGGGACAAACTTGCCCTAGCCAACTTGCTGTGACCACCTCACCATAAACCACCTCTCTATGGACGACCAGTCGCAGGACAATTTATCACTTAAATTTAATTATTTAAAATAAATAAAAATTGTTTTTAATTTTTGTCAATCAGATTTCATTTCGTTCCTCCTTTTGCATCCTATTCCACCATTTCTTTGATATCAGTGTAACTCTTGTCCTGCAGTGAGTTGGCTGTGGAGAATTGGCTGTGGCAAGCTGGCCACAGTGAATTGGCCACAGTGAATTGTCATGGACCCTGCTGAGTTAGCATTCCAGCTAGCCTCTGCTCTCTTTGGAATGTGAATAAGCTTGTACTATGTTGAATAACTGGGCACGGCTAGTCTAGTGAAGAGAAGGAGCAGGGGCGGCATGATAACAGTGTTCCAATATTTGAGGGGCTGCCACAGAGAGGAGAGGGGTCAGGCTATTTTCCAAAGCACCTGAAGGCCAGAGAAGAATAATGGATGGAAACTGATCAAGGAGAGATTCAATCTGGAAATAAGGAGAAATTTTCTAACAGTGAGAACAATCAACCAATGGAACATCTTACCTTGAGAAGTTGTGGGAGCTTCATCACTGAAAGCTTTCAAGTAGAGACTGGACTGCCATCTGTCAGAAATGGTTTAGGGTCTCCTGCTTGAGCAGAGGGTTGGAATAGATGACCTACAAGGTCCCTTCCAACTCCGTTATTCTGTAAACTTTCTGTAAACCTCTGGATTCTGTACAACTGCAGGTAGGGTAAGGTAACCTAACCCTAACCCTAAGGTATTTGCTGAAAATTGGAAGTACATAGTAGTTCAAATGGCATACTCCTGGCAATTGAATGTCTCAAAGGCACGAAGGCTGCAATATTGATGCATTTGAATGCTTTCTCTTCTGTGGTTGCAGGGGACAGGTAATGAGATGATCCCATATATAGAACAGCCATGCCTCTGAGGACAGGCCAGCTTGAGACTGCTAAACACGTCCTTCAAAGTCTTCTACATAGAAACGCGTAATAGTTTTATCTCTCTGATATTGACAAGACTGCCAGAGCATGCTGTTGCGGCTGATGGATTATAATCCCTCTATAGAACATCATGCAAAGTGCTGTAGTGTCTACGGCTCACCAGAAGCTAATTAAGTGTAAGACAATTTTGTAAATTCTGAAATAACATTGAATAGATATTTACATTTTACAAATTAGTACGTACTAAATAAATGCCGAATTTTAATTATCTTTAGATATAGATTTTAATAATGGTGTTTATAACAATTTTTAATATTATCTCAGCTTGTATTTTATTGCTTGCATTAGCATCAGTGTAAAACTTATAACTGTAATGTTTACAGTGTTATGGTAGTAATATTAAATTTCAGTTGCTGAAATGGTTGCTCTTGTTCTGTTTATGTAATTTTATGACTCTTTTTTTTACTGGCCTGTGACTGAAATAAAGATGTTGTATTACTTTTTAGTGTTGTCATAAAATACACACACATAGAGAGATAGAAGTACACATACATACATACATATTCCACTTTTTGCCCTGACCAATTTCTGAAGTTAACATTCACCATGGTAAAGCAGTGAGATTTGAGATAATTATTTTAAATTAATTAATGAAATCTCATTTCTTTTGAAAATGTACAGCTGCACTTCTGGGGAAAAAAAATCTACCGTGATTATTATAAGAACAAATTTAAAACATTAAAAATGATGGATATTCGAAACAATGCAGGAAACAAATCAGAGGGTCACAAGAAGACAACAGGAAAGCAAACCACAAAGATACAAGTGCTGGCCAGTCCAAACAACTCACACAGAGAATTCTCCAGGTGCAGCTGTTATGCCAACCCAGGCTTGGCATGGCACCACTATATCCCTATGATGTCCTCCTTTTTGGGGGCAATTTAACCTATTTTTATTTCATCTGAGAGGGCTGAGGAATTACAGTACTATGTAGGCAATCTGTTAGCGCTGAGAAATTACAAAAGATTCAAGGATGATCACTGAACAAAAAATTAAATCCTGTGAAATAAGATTGAAAAGGGTTGGGGGGCGGTTTAGAAGATGAGAAGGGATTTGATTTATGGAACTTTGTGAGATATTTTAATCAACAGGACATGGTGTCCATCTGTAGCCTCCCAGCATCAACTTCCGAAACCTACCCTTGAGAAAGATTGCAACTACCTGAATCCAGATGGATTGGCAATACTACATCCATATTATCCAATAGTTGATAACATGAAATACTGCAAAGATTTTCTCTATCAGACTGACCAACAACTCCTTCCACCAAGCCAGACAGAAATAAATTCAATAAATATATAATCCAGAAATTTCAGGTGCCATCACTTTGGGCATATGTCCAATGAAAACATAGTAACAGTACTGGTTTATGACATCATTCACACACTCCCAACTCAGGAAGAAAAAAAAAAGTCCTTTAAAAAACACTAGACATCTGGTGCGCCTTATTTTATCCAACAATCACTGAAGTGATACCTTGGTTAAAGTGAAGATTTGCAATACAAAAGATGGGTGGGTCAAAGATGATACCAGAGATACTCCATGGCGCCAAACCACCTCCAAAGTTATTATGGAGTCCCATGATAGAGAGACCAGAAGATGAGGGTAAGTTAGTATTCAAGCATTGGCATATTTTATTGTAATATGAATTGTTGCTGAGCTTATCCACTGAATACGTGTAGAATATATTTGCACGTGCATGCATATGTATTTCCCCCCCTTCTGTTCAATTGTGATGAATTCTTAGAGACTGCCTGGAGAAGCCCCTGCAGGCTTTTTTGGCCAGGTTTTTAAGAAGTGTTTTGCCCTTGCCTCCTTCCTAGAGCTGAGAGAAAGTGACTGGCCCCAAGGTTAACCAGTTAGCGTCGTGCCTAATAAAAGGGACAGTGGAAATGCATGAGAGCAGAAGTCCCCAACCAGCAGTCTGTGGACTGGCACCGGTCCATGGCATGCCAGAAACAGGACCATGCAAACAAGCGAAGCCCCATCCATGGGATGCAGGCAGCACATGAAACCATGCCCCCTCTGGAGAGTGGATAAACTTCTCTCCATGGGATCAGCCCTGGTTCCCAAAAGGTTGGAGGCTGCTGCGTTATATAGTATTGAATGTAAAGAAATGGAGTTACATGAAAATACTTTTATTTAGTTTATTTCTTCCCTTCTATTTCTTTTTTTTTTTTAACAATAAAAAATAAATGCCAACTTCCAATACCTTTGTTCTTCAAGCATCAATGGGAAGTAGGGTTCTCTCTTCATCCCTCTCTTATTCTGTTTTAGTCTTGACCTAAACTATTAGGACCATCACCCACAAGTACTGACAATACTGTCAGCTGAGCAGTTTAGTACTATTGAACAATTCTGATAGCTCTCTAGCGCAGCACTCACTTCAGTGAAACTAGAAGAATGGCAGCCAACGAGGCTGAGCAGGAACTAGAGGGAAGAATTAAAATGCCCACATGAATCTGCTGTGGCCATAAACATCACCCCCAATCCCACTCATTATACTAGTCACCTGAGAGTACCTTTTGGCCTAACAGGTAAGTGCAAAGCATAGTAGATTTTGCTCATTTTTTGGCTGGATGCTATCAGCTAAAAGTGGAAAACACCACTTGGAACCCAGTACAAGTAAAGGTGAACTTCTAATCTCTCTCTCATTGGCTGTGGTGAAGGAAAAGTTTTGGCAGCATAGTAGAAATAGGTTGTTACCAGGATATGCTCCTACCATAATAGAGTGTGACTGTTAAGATATCTTCCCTATCTCTGATTTTAAGTTTGAATTAAATTTAACATTCTTGACTCCTGTATCTATTGGCTCAAAGATAAATTCAAAGAGGTTTACAGCTAAGAAAGATTCTTAATCACATGCTCAGCACTTTGGGGACCCAACTCTTTGTAGTGCAATGATTGAAATATTGAATTAGAACTAGAGATACCCCATCATTTAGATCTTCAACTATCGTGTTTATTAATTGAGTATCAACCTGGCCTGCATGGAGTTGTGATCAGGATGAAATTAAGTATCAGGGAGGGTGGATCATATCCATCTCCTTTAGCTCTTAGAGAAAAGCTGTAATACTGTAAACAAACAATACTACAAAATAGAAAATAGAAAACAGAGGATAGGAGGAACAAATCCCCTGTTTTGCCTATATTGCTTTAAAACAGTATTTAAAACCAGACATTATATACCCGTTGGGTTGTGCCTCTTATTTTTCATGTGCTTTTTTTCATGTTAGCTTTTCTTATTCTAAGGAGCTCTTTTTTTATAAAAAAAAATGCACAGATGCATTGCATTTGATTAAAAAAAGATGTTTCCAATTAATGGCATTGTACTTGGAAGCTAAACCAAGGCAGCATAATGGTCACTGTTTCAAATTGGGAGTGGGGAGACCCAATTCAAGTCCTGCTTGCAACAGATATCACTGGGTGACTTTTAGGCTAGTCCCTGTGTCTTGCTGAGTTGTTGAGCCCAAAATTTCTGTTGCTAAGTGAAACATTTGTTACTCAGAATTTTATGACCTTTATTGTCACAATTATTAAGGGAATCACTGCAGTTGTTAAGTTAGTGACATAGTTGTTAAGTGAATCTGGCTTCCCCATTGACTTTGCGGGACTGTGAATTGGTCCCCTGTTTAAAAAGTTTGAGGACTTCTGCTTAAGATCATAATTTAAAAGATAATTAAGATAATTTAAGATCTTAATTTAAAACATCTGGAGGGTATATGGTTAAAAAGCATAAAGTTATGCCTTTTTCATAAAACAATAGAGGAAGAATTCAGTCCATGTTTTCCTTGCTATTCTGTGCAACTGGATCATGTCCTTCAATCTTTATGATGACTATCACTTGTATTATGCTGCGAGTCTTTGAAACAATTCTGTAATCTTGCAATAATGTTGTAAGTAGGTCTGCATTATACAAAGCATGTAACTTAGTCTATGATTTTATATTATTTATCTGGAAAAAAGCCAGTGCGTTCAGATAATTTATGACAGATGACAACACTGAATTACAGATTTCCTGATTTAGATCTTAGCATCATCTCTACAGTTTTTGCAGCTGGTGTCTTATTCCTAAATTGACCATTGTAACTTTGAACAGTCATTAAATGAACTGTTGTAAATCGAGGACTATCTGTATACGCAATATCTAAACAAATGAATAAGTAGACCTGTTTTTGCTAAATACGGTGGTTTCTCCATCCAATGTGCTTTATTATTTACAGCGGCCAGAAAGGCTCAAATGAAAACACCAAAGGACTCTTTCCACCAGGTATGTAGACTTTTGCTTGTTAGTTGTGAAGTCTCCTAATATATACCACAATGTATACATACATGTTCCACATAAGCCTTTACACTTTGTACCTTATACCAAAGATGGTTTGTTTAGAGGACCTCATAATACAAATCTTCTTTCTTTTCTGCCTTACTAGACTTTCAGTGTAAAATTAGAAGTAGATTCTGGTAAGGAAACAAAGAGGAGGACATAAAACATTCTGTGAAGGAAGTTGGATAGTTGTACATTAATCCTACATCTAGAAGCATCCCAAGAGAAAAGTTCCACAGTAGATCACTGCTCACTTTGCAGGACTCCTGAGTTCTGCATGAATGATAGTTTAATAGGTGTGATGGAATGTAGTGAGGAGGTGGGAGGGAGATAAATTCCAAAGGTGGAAAAGGCAACTTAGCCCAGTTACTATGTGTGAGAAAGAGGGGGAAGACAACACCTGCTTAATAGGAGTCCTGCTTGCTCAGTGGTTAGAATGCCTAACTCTGCCCACAGCCAGAAGTTTGATCCTCACTGGTTCAAGTTTGACTCAGCCTTCCATCCTTCCAAGGTCAGTAAAATGATGACCCAGATTTTGGGGGGCAATATGCTGACATTGTAAGCTTCCCAGAGACTGCTGTAAACCACCGTGGGGCAGTATATAAGTCAAAATGTTATTAATATTGCTATTAATAGTTCACAGAACATTTATAGGTAGAGATAGTAGAAGCCTCAGCCTGTTAAGATTTGTCTGTGGGTGTGAAATAATAAAAAAGTCAGACTTGGAATTTTTAAAGTCAGCTAACTTTGAAACTAGGTTCAAGTTTTGCTAACTACAGCTATGGGCTCAAAAGTAGTTTGGGGGTCCAGGGAAAATACCCACAAACATCACCCAAATGCGAGAAGTCACTTTGTTACTGAACAAATGTTTTCAAGACTTTCAAAAATACACTCTTCATTTTTTTTTTTTTTTGCCAAGCTTCCTTGATTAAGGCAGCCTAATTTAAGAAGAAAAAATCATGTTGCATTTTAATGGAGCTTGATTTAATTGTTTTAAATTAATTGGCTTTAATTGCTTTTATTTTTGTTACTGTGCATTTTAAAATGGACGTTTGTAAGTTGCTTAGAGCAAGGATTATATTAATTGTGTAATAAAATAAGATTGAAGAAATTGCTCCTGTTAAATGATTGGGAGCTAGCAATCCTTTGAGACCTTCTGCAGATCATCCAGGGATCTGGTGATAAATTCCAATCTACCTTCTACCAACAGCTGACCTAAAATTATCTAGATGAGCTTGGTCTTTCATAACCAAGAGCAACATCTTGGTGTAGTCTCTGATTAACTTTATCCTGCATCCAACAATCACGCTTGGCATTGCCCTTATGAGAAAAGTACAGTTGCAATTCATGAAACAACAGGCCCCAAAAGCATTATTTCTAAAACCCCATCAGTCGGGAGGGGCATTGCACTTACTGATTTAAATGAAAATAAAGAAACCAAGTTATTAATCCTGGATGAGAATTTTGATATAAGGATTCTGAGACAAATAACCAGTCTTTAGACCAATGACTTTTCCTTTGAGGTGAGTTCATCTTCTGATGACTCCATAGATATGTCCATGAAATTTACTTGGAAGTAATATGGATGCACTTCATCATTGCTTTCTAGTTTGTTTGTTTGCTTGTTAGATAATTAACCTTCCAATCTAGCTTGGAGACCTAGATTTTACTGCTAGTTTCATATTCAGGAACCATCCAGATCCAGCCTGACTCTGTGGTTTCTTCCCCAAACCCCAAAAACTTTAACCTTAGACTGTCTACTATTGACCTCACCCCTTTCCTAAGAGGTCTTAAGCGCACCAACGTGCCTACCGTCCCTGTCCTATTGTTTCTTTTATTTTTCTTATATGTATCCATGTATTCATAACTATGTTTATACTTACACCTATTATCTTGTAAGCAATTGACAAATAAAATAAAATAAAAGTTTTCTGAAATCAACCACGGTAGTCTAGGGGTGCTGGAACAACTACACTATTTAGTGGACAACAAATATGTTTTTGACAACATGAACTCTGTGTTTTGTGCCCAACACAATTTTTATGATTTTATCTCCCTCCAGGTTTCTCCTGAAACTTACCCATGTAGTCCTTTCAAATATAGAACCAAAGTCTACAAGTTTGATCCTGGTCTCATCCCACCTACTATTGTAGAGCAACCTGATACAGCCAACTTGAAGAAGCAATGCCCATATCAAAAGAAAATGGAAAAGGCAAAATCCAAATCTATAAGGAAAAAGTAAGGGATGGGAATGGGATACTGAGTTTCTGTTATTAGTTGGTAGGAAAGACAAGTTATATTTATAGCATCAATTAACATTTGGCACCTGGAATGCAAAAAGAGAGGGGCTAATTGTGTTTGGCTGATGTTACCCTTTAATAGCTAACCACTTGCTTAGGATCATGGTATTCTTTACCCAAACAAACAGATGGTACAGCAAAATAATTTTCATCAATTATGCTTTGGTCTTTTGAAATGTGTCTAACTTTCAGAAAATATCTTGTTTTGAATGATGGAAACAATTACTCTGAAGAGGAAATTAAAGTTATCCTTTAAACTTACTGTCTGGACATTGAAAAAGTGACTTATTTACAACCATGAGATGAAAATTCAGACGCTTGGTAACTGACATATTTATGACAATTGCAGTTCCTGGGGTCCTGTGATCCCCTTTTGCAAATTTCTGACGAATAAAATCAATGGGGAAGCCAGGTTCACTTAGCAACCCTGTTAACTAACTTAACAACTGCAGAGATTCACTTATTTATTTATTTATTTGGTTTGTGAATTGCTTGCAAGATAATAGGCATAAGAAAGCTCATAAAATATGGCAAAACCCACTTAACAAATGTTTCACCTAGCAACATAAATTCTGGGCTCAGTTGCGGTTGTAAGTTGAGGATTCCCTATAGTGGGTGCATTGCAGTCCCATTACCTCTAAAAAGGTGTCCAGCTGGGGAAAGCAGCTTCAGATAATAATATATCCCCTTTTTCCAGAATCCTCAGCTAAGGGGCACATTTCCATTTTTACTTGGAAGCATACAAAAATATATACTTTTGCCACAAATTTTGATTTGGAAGTCCCATGTTTCTCTAGAATCCAGTAAGTAGTTGCTACAGGATGTGTTACAGAGAATATTTTTTTTAAACCAGAGAACTCGGGTTATTGTCCCATTCCAGGAATTTAATGGCCTATCTTTTCAAGTATGCAGATGGATCTGCCTGCATGAGAACCAGCTCACCAATTTCATCCTTGCATTCAATGGACCTCACGGTCTTGAATAACAATGGCTGCTCACATGCAGATAGTATCACATGCTGCTGATGGAGCACTTTCGTTACCGCTTCTATTGTTTTTCCGGACATGAGAGGTCAAGATAATGTAAGGACACTAGAGTTAGGATTAATTTATTCAATGCCCCTTCAATTGACAATGGGACACTTTCTCCACAGCCAGAGTACAATTTTGGGGGAATGATGTGGCTCTCTTTGTGTGGTGGAAATACAACCAAGTGGTTTAAGATGGAATCATATGTCTGGGATTATGGAGAAAACATAAATGGCATGGAGAGAAACACATTTGTGTCAGGTTCTACCTTCGTTTAGACTGTGGGCTTAACTTCGCTGGCTGTGGAATATTACTCCATTCTTTGTCTTGATTAAAATAACCTTATTCCCATTAACTGCAGTGGAAAGGATAAAATAAAGGGTGGAGGGACTCCAGACACAAGAATACTGATGACTGTTGTGCCCACATAGTAATAGCTGAGGGTTGGATTTCAGGTAACTTGGTGCCTAAGTAGAATGTGCTATCCTGGGTACATAAACTTCATGAAATAGATTGCCTCCAGATGGAGAATACAAATCTCCCAGCTATTAACTACTCAGGAAACAACGTTATTGCTTTCCATTCCCAATTCTGATGTATTAGAATAGACCCGATCTCGGTTGCAAAATCCAGACAAACCACAGAGCTATTGAAAACTGCCATATGTGGCCATATAGCTGAGACCTGGGACAGAGAATTATTGTGCAACTATCCCCAACCTATCCCAAATGTCTTGGGACTGCAATGTCAGTAGCTCTTGGCCATTCCAGATAGCCTGTAATCCCAGGAATTGACACTCCATCTCTAAATCAGGGGTCTCCAACCTTGGCAGCTTTAAGACTTGTGGACTTCAACTCCCAGAATTCCTCAGCCAGCAAAGCTTTGCTGGCTGAGGAATTCTGGGAGTTGAAGTCAACAAGTCTTTAAGCTGCCAAGGTTGGAGATCCCTGCTGTAAATCACTGATACCCAACTTGTGATCTAGAGATCTCTGGTAGCCTATGTGAGTACCGCAGGTGGTCTCTAGTAAACATTCCAAAATGCTTTTAAAGAAGGATACAGAAGTCTTCAACTTATGATGACAATTGAGCCTTGAATTGTGGTTGTAGTATGTTGTGGTCATTAAGTGGATCAACATGTGATCTGACTTGATTTTATGATTGTTTTTGCTATGGTCATTAAGTGAGTCCCTACAGTCATTAAGTGAATCACATGATTATTAAGGCATATTCAGCATATCCAATGGGCATTTTTTGGCAAAGTGTGGTCACATGACATTGGGACATTGCAAATGCAAACCAAGCAGCCAAGCAGTCTAGCACAATTGTAGACATTATATAAAACTGTAAATATAATAAAAATATACAAATGACAATTAATTCATTTAACTTTTAAAATACAATTTTTAAAGATGCCTTGTGCAGTGATCTTTGTGTTATGTCCGTCGCAGGAGAGAGACACTGAGTCAGTGACTTGGTTTCAGCTCTTTTATTAGTTCCCGAGATCGACTCGGTTCCAAAAGAAAAACGGCGGCTTTTATTCCTTGGCCGCGGCGGCCGCGGCCAATGGCACCGCCTTGAATCTCCCGCGATTAGTTTCCACCAATCGCGGGGGATTCGCGGCGGGCCAATCAGTGCGGCTCACTCGGCCAATCAGCTTGCCGTGCGTCTTGACCAATCACCGCGCGGCATTTACAAGTATGTTAATGACTGTACAGAACACCCCTCCCCTCTTGGTATGGTCCTACGTGATGTAGTCCCGCAAGTAGGCGGGGCTTCGTACTTGTCTATTTGACCTGAGCAGGTTAGTTGGTGCTTGGCTCCCGGCCGGTTCGGTCAGGTTCTGTGTTGCTCTCTGCCTCGTCAATGGAACCGTCTGGAAGGGTGAGCCGGGCCTTTCGTCGCAGCTCCCTCCCGGTCTACCCGGGCTGGTTGAGCTGCGGTTGTTGCCGCTCCCGCCTGGTCTTTCTGGGCTGGTTGAGCTGGCCTGGCTGCTTCTCCCTGGTGAGGCTTCGAGCTGGCTGCTTGTCGGTGAGTATTTCCAGTTTCTTTCTGGTAGGGATTGGTTCCCGGGGCCTTCCCTCCCCTCTTGGTTTGTGCTGGGGGGTTCCCTTCTTTTTCTGGGTGTGCGTCTGTGTCTGTTTGCGTGTCGGTTGTGTTTCCTGTGGTTGTTCTTGACCTTAATTGGTCGATGTGTAGTTTCCATGCTCGTCCGTCGGTTGTCTGTAGCCGGTATGAGTGGGGACCTGTCACTTGGGTTATGGTTGCTGGTACCCAAAGTGGGTCCCCGGTAAGGTTCTTCGCGTATACTGCGTCGCCTGGTGTAAATGTTCGGTCTTTGCTTGAGGAGTTTGAGGGTTTTTCTGGGTTGTACGTGGGGTGCAGTCTGTCGAGTGGGGACCTTAATTTCCTCCCCATTAACAGCTCTGCTGGGCTTTTGTTGGTTGTTGTGTTCGGGGTTATGTGTTGTATAAAAAGCATTTTATTTATCTTCTCTTGTATTTCCCCGTTTTCTATCTTTTGGATTGTTTTTTTTGTAAATTGAACCATTCGTTCCGCCCTCCCATTCGCCGCCGGATGTGCTGGCGCTGTTAACGCGTGCCGTATCCCCCGCTCCGCTAGGAATTTTTCGAATTCCAGCGAGGTAAATTGAGGCCTGTTGTCGGATACGATGACGTCTGGGAGGCCGTGGGTTGCGAACAGCTTGCTGAGTTTCTTGGTGACTGCCTCCGTGGTGGTAGTTCTCATGTTGCTTACCTCCAACCAGTTGGAGTAAGCATCTACCATAATGAGGAAGGTATGCCCTTTCGTGGGCCTGGCAAAATCTATGTGAATCCTGGACCATGGTCCCCTGGGGGTTTCCCATTCCAGGATTGGGGCGGCAGGGGGGCTTGGCCTGGTTTCCTGGCATCGGTTGCATGCTGCCACCCAAGCCTCGATTCGTTTGTCCATCCCTGGCCACCAGGCGTAACTTCTGGCCAAGGCTTTTGTCCTCACGATGCCTGGGTGCCCCTCATGTAACAATTCCAATACCTTTCCCTGTAATTTTTCCGGGATAACAACCCTATCCCCCCATAGTAAACAACCTTTTTGTAATGACAGTTCTGTTTGCCGGTTCCGGAATGTCCTGAATGTTTCGTCGTTGTCCTTTTCGGGCCACCCCTTCTCTACCCAATGTAACATTTGCGCTAGACGTTTGTCTTTATTAGTTTCGCGGGCAATGTCTGACGCGGTTATGGGTAGGTCGGGCAGAGTCTCTATGCTAAGGGTGGCCTTCGTGGGTGCTGGGTCGGTGTCCAGGTCAGGTAAAGGCGTGTGGCTCAGGGCGTCTGCATGGCTGATTGTCTTACCGGGTCGGTGTGTGAGCCGGTAGCTGTAGGCGGCAAGGAATTCGGACCACCTTGTCATTCTTGGAGATAGAATGTTCGGGGTGGCCCTGTTCCCTGCCAGGATTCCCAGCAGCGGCTTGTGGTCGGTGACGATGGTGAACGTACGGCCGTAGATGTACTCGTGGAAACTTTTTACGGCGGCAACGATAGCCAGGGCCTCTTTGTCCAGCTGACTGTAGTTTCTTTCCGGTTTGGTGAGGGTCCTTGAAAAGAAGGCGATGGGTGCTTCTTTTCCGTCGGGGAGAGTGTGGCTGAGGACGGCGCCGACGCCGAAAGGTGATGCGTCGCATGTGACTGCTAGCGGTAGGGTCTCGTTGTATTGGATGAGGACGGCATCCGAGGTGAGCAGGTCCTTGGTTTTGTTGAAAGCTACTTCCTTGCGTTTCCCCCAAGTCCACAGGGCCGCCTTGTCCAAAAGTCTATGCAAAGGCTCCGCCGCGGTCGCCTTCTAGGGCAGGAAAACATTATAGAAATTAAGCAGTCCTAGAAATGCCTGTAGTTCCGTTTTATTCTTCGGCCTGGGAGCTTCCTTAATTGCTCTGATTTTTTTCTCGGTTGGGTGAATTCCGTGCCGATCTAAGAGGTATCCCAGGAATTCGACCCTCTCGGTATGCAATTGGCATTTTTCTTTTTTAACCTTTAGCCCCGCGTTTTTGAATTTCGTTAGGACCTCCCTCAGGCGACCCTCCAGTTCTTTTCGGTTGGCTGCCGACACCAGTACGTCGTCGAAGTAGGGCACCACCCCTTTGATTCCCTGCAGGAGTCTCTCCATGAGGCTCTGGAAAATTCCTGGGGCCACGCTGACTCCAAACTGGAGTCTCTTACAGCAGAAAGCCCCCCGGTGGGTTACTATGGTCTGCGCCTCGGCGGTTTCTTCGTCGACCGGCAGTTGTTGATAGGCTTGCGCCAGGTCGAGTTTCGCAAAAACCTTGCCTCCCCCCAGTGAGTGTAGGAGGTGCTGCACTACTGGAACGGGGTAGGCGCTCTGTTGTAAGGCGCAGTTTAGGGTGGCCTTATAGTCCCCGCAGATTCTCACCGACCCATCGGGCTTGATTGGGGTGACTATGGGGGTCTCCCACCGGGCGTGGCCAATTTGTTCGAGGACCCCTTGTCTGATTAGCTTGTCTATTTGCTCATCGATCTTGGGCCGGAGTGCGAAGGGTACCCGCCGTGGTTTTAGGCGTATTGGGGGAACGCTGGGGTCTAGGCTGAAGGAAATAGGGGCCCTCGGTACTTGCCTAGGGTGCCATCGAACACTTCCTGGAAGTCCCTAGCGAGTTGTTCCTCCCAATCGGCCTCTCCAACGTGATCGATGCCCGTCACTTCGATCCTGAGTGGCGCGAACCACTGCAGTCCCAAGAGGCTGGGGCGGTCTCGGTCCACGATCGTCAGGGGAAGCCTTGCTGTGCGCCCCTTGAAGGTTATCTCGAATTGTCCTGTTCCGACTACCGGGATGCGATTTCCCTGGTAGTCTTTGAGGATTAGTTTCTGGCTTTCCAGTCCTCTTCTTTGGATTTTGGGCACCAGGCACTTGATTTCCCGCCATGCAACCATGGAGAGGTAGGACCCGGAGTCCACCTCCATCTTGCACGGCTCGTCCTCGATGTCCACTTCCACGTATACCTTCCGGGAGTCTGCGCTGGACGAGTGGCCGATGACGACCGTCTGGTGGGTTTCCTCTCTCTGCTGGTTCTCGCCGTTCCGTCGGCCCCATCCGTCCCGGCTCCAATGATTTTCGACTTGGCGGTCTCTGGGCTTGGGGGGGTGCCGTCTCGTCTCCGGTCGCTGTTATCTCGTCGCCGGGGGCTGTAGGTTTTCTTAAGTCGGCAGACTCATGCGATGTGGCCTCTTTTGTCGCAGTGCCGGCAGATCGCATCGAAAAATCGGCACTCCGATCGAGGGTGGTCGCCTCTGCACCCGGCGCATTGGGGTCCCGACTTACGACCCCGCCGATCGCGCTGGTCTCGTTCCGTCTGGAGTCAATGGATGTCTTCTTCCTCGTCCGTGGTGTCGTCAGCCCCAGGATGACGCGGTCTCGGAGCGCCTCGTCCATGTCTGTAAACCCACACATGCCCCCGAGATTCCGTAGGTCAGCCACGAAATAGCTGATGCTCTCGCCCGCTCTCTGGTCTTGCTGGTAGAAGTCGTGCCGCCTGATGAGGGTGGGCACGGCGGGGGCATAGTGGTTTCGGAGCAATGGTTTGAGATCGGCCCAGTCCATTGTTTTTACGTCCTCGGGTTTCGCGAGGGCTTTTGCCATCTTAAACACTGCGGGCCCGCAGTGTGTTAGAAAGACGGCTCTTTTCTTCTGCCCGGTTGCGTCCTTTAGATTGCTACTTTCGAGGAACATCAGGAACTGGTCTGTGTACGATTCCCAATCCTCAGTAGCTGGGTTGAAGGGCACGGGCGGTGCGATGCTGGCCATCTCGTCGGTCTCGTTTCCTCAGGACACGTGCTTGATGGGAATCAGTCTCGGCATCCCACCCTCGTCGCCAGTGTTATGTCCGTCGCAGGAGAGAGACTCTGAGCCAGTGACTTGGTTTCAGCTCTTTTATTAGTTCCCGAGATCGACTCGGTTCCAAAGGAAAAACGGCGGCTTTTATTCCTTGGCCGCGGCGGCCGCGGCCAATGGCACCGCCTTGAATCTCCCGCGATTAGTTTCCACCAATCGCGGGGGATTCGCGGCGGGCCAATCAGTGCGGCTCGCTCAGCCAATCAGCTCGCCGTGCGTCTTGACCAATGACCGTGCGGCGTTTACAAGTATGTTAATGACTGTACAGAACACTTTGTATGATGTAATGGTCCTCCATAAAAGAAAACAAAGGAAAATACAGTCAAGTGATCTATGGCTTAATGATCTATGCTAAATTTCCATTTCTTAGGACACATTTCCCCCTTAAAAATACCTTTACAAGACACAGAAATTATTTTTTTAAAAAAATATTTAATGCTGTCTTCTTTTTTTCCATTCAGGTCTCAGTTTTTACTTTCCAAGTTTATCAAGTCAGCAGTTCTTAAAAGAAAAGATATTTATGTTTGGAATGAAACGTTTAAACCAGAAAGGATCAAGGTTAGAAAAAAAAATCTGATAGTAAAGCATTTTTCAAGAATATTAGGTTTCTTTGCTGTAGGCCATATTTTCCAAGCTGATGCATTCCACATTTGTTAAGCCATAAGACAAATGATCCCCAGCTATTATGGCCATATAAGTTAGCTTCAACCCATCACAGATGGAAAACATCAGGTTGGGAAAAGTCTTGGTATAAAACTTGCGCAGTGTAGTAATTTAAAATGCTGGATTAGGAGTGGGAAATACCCAATTCGAGTCCTCTCTTAGCAGCTGGGAGATTTTGGCCCAGCTACATTCTCAATCCTAGACTGGAACTTTGAAAAACATCCCAAAATAAGATAATGGTGAGCTATTTCTCAAAATGTGGTCAATAAAGCTTCATGGAGTTGTTACATAGCCAATAGGAATCCAGACTGACTCAAAACACTAAAACAAACAAAGAAACAGGTGAGCTCCAATCTAAATGACCATGAGGACTTTTTTGAAATGGCTGCATGGTTAGACATTGCCCTGGGTAAGAAGTCCTTAGAGCAACTTCTCCTCTAAAGCTACTAGATCTTGACTGCAAAAATAGAAATGACCCTGAGATGGCAAGAAAAGAGAATAGTTTCAAAAAAATGTATGGGTCATTATTGTGATCAAAAATAGGAGATCAACCATGTGGTTTAAAAGAAGCTTGGGATACTGCTTTTGGTAATCCCCTACAAGAGATCACTTAGCAAAGATTGTGGAAATTGGGTAAAATGACTTCAGCCTCAATGCAAGAACCACAGTGGAAGATTATACATTTTAGGCATTTGACTCAGATTGGCACATATGTATCAAAATTATTCTTCCAAAAGTTGGAGAGGTGATCAGTCATGTGTTAAAGTGATATCCTTGTGGCATGAAATCTTTGGAGAGACACCATAAATATTACTAATCAAAGGATTAAATGCTCCTCAATGCTATGTTTACTGCACTTATTTACAGGAGTAAATCAAAAGCTTAAAAATAAAGAACTTATTATTTAATTGTAGCAGACAAAAATAATAATTATGCAATATTTGAAAACTTTAGATAACATAACAATTGAGTTGTGGATTAACAAGGCATTTTCAATTTGCTAGATCAGGAAAAAATAATAGGCAAAGTTAAATTTATGTGATATCAGAGGCAGGAGCCACAATTTTATGAAATTTGGAAGGATTTTATGGTTTATCTCAATAGCAATAGAGTATAATCTGGCATACAGTATAGGGCAAATTTACATATGTGCAGTACCCAGTTTTTATTCTCATTGCAGTAGATCATTTTAATGCTTTCTGTATTTTTCTTTTTCTTTCTTCCCCCCCCTATATTTTGGATTTGTTTACATAGTTGCCTGTAAAATGTAAACACACATTTGCTACCATCTCATGATGATCTGGTTGTTTACAGTCAAGATCTGATAGCTGTTGCAGATTTATCATATTGTTGCTATATGCAAACAGAGATAGAAAAGGAAAGCTTGTGAGTTCCTCTGCAAAGGAGAATTTGAAGTTTTTTAACTTAGAAAAAGAACAGTGTGGAGGTTTTCTTTCTCTCTCATAATATAGCTGGGACTGGAGATTTTTCTCCATCATCTCCTTTCCTTTTTAAAATACTTGCATTTGACTGATTGATTGATAGGTGGGTTGATTGATTGATTGCAGGTTCTCATAAAGTCCTTGGCGTCTCCTGTGGAACTTGAACAACTCTATGCAGCTCAGGTAAAAAAAACGCATTAGATTCGATCTTTATTAAGAGGGAAAGTTTATGGACGCTTGGAAATCATACTGCAGTGAAGTCCTTAGCTAGAAGTGAACTATTTTCCATATAGAAACATTGTGGTCTTAAGATTCAAATCCAAAAATTCCTCAGTTATATAAGACACAGATATAATCACACACTTCCACTGGCTTCAACACGTTAGTTAATGTAGAAGTTATTTATTTAGAACTATTTATTGGGAACTAACCATGCAAGAATCCAGAAGGGCCACTAAAAGGTAATAAAAGAGTGCAGAATGCTCTTAATCTTTGTTGTCATCTTGTGGTATAGAGTTTTACAGCCAAGTTCTGGCAAACTGACCTTTCCTCATGCCCTCCCTCTTTCTTTCTGACTGTAGGAATCTGACTTTGTTCCAAAGCTATAAAGCTATTAATAAGAAACATAAACTTGATGTAGGTTAGGAACTGATCTTTTTTTTTTGGTCTTCACATGGAGGCTATTTGGTAATCTTGAACAATGGCCCCTCCATCTTGTAGCAACCCAATACCTTATGGCAGTGGTTGCCAACCAGTGGGCCGAGGACACTGGTGGTCTGCGAGAAAATTTTGGTGGTCCGCAGAGAAATGTCACCCCCAAAATACTTCCTCCAAAACAATTAATCTAGGCTGTGTGGGAACACAAGGCTGTGCCGCCCACATGGCCCACCCAATCGCTGGCCCCACCCTTCGGCTGAGTGCAAACCTTACCTTGAGTAGAGCCACGCAAGCTGGAACTGGAAGGTAAGACCAATAGCGGGGGAGGGAACTGCCCTGGGGTGGTTTGCTGATGTGGGTGGGAAAGTCGGTCCCATATTCCAGAGCTGCAGTAGTCACAGGACTGGCCCTTTGGTTATCCCGGAGCAGCTCCTCCAGTCCATGGCAGGCCGGTGCACCCGGGTGGAGGAACAGGTGTTCCAGGACGACCAAAGGGCCAGTCCTGTGACTATTGCAGCTCTGGAATATGGGATCGACTTTCCCACCAGCAAGCCACTGTCAGTCAAAATTCATATTAGTGATCTGCAGGATTTTAAATTATGAGTTTGGTGGTCCCTGTGGTCCAAAAGTTTGGTGACCCATGCCTTATGGGATCTTGCTTGAGAATGCTGAAATCTAATAACTCCTTATCTAAGATGTTACTATTTTTGTGCTTGATTTACTTCAATCCTGTGAGATTTGATAACCTTGCAAGATTTCAGCTATGTCTTCTTAATCATTAAAAAAATATTGAAACTGGGAGCAAAATGAAAGGGGGTATTGCTTTTAGACCTTCTGTCGTTTGTGGGTGTTGCTCTATGCAATACAAGTAGTTCACAGCTAATAATAGTTCATTTGTTTCAATTTTCAACTGTTTAGAGTTACAAAGGCACTGGAAAAAGTGACTTACGACTGCTTTTCACACTTACGAACGTTGCAGCATCTCCATAGTCATGTGATCAAAATTAAATTGCTTGGCAACAGATTCATATTTATCACAGTTGCAGTGTCCTAGGGTCCCGTGAACAGCTTTTGTGACCTTCTGACACGCAATGGGAAAACCCAATTCACTTAACAACTAACTGATTAACTTAACAACCGTAGTAATTCTCTTAAGTAGCAAGAAAGGTCATAAAATGGGGCAAAGCTCACTTAACTCATGTCTCACTTAGCAACAGAACCTTTGGGTTCAATAGTAGTCATAAGTCAAGGACTACCTGTATAGGATCTTCATATGATTTTTGCAATTGGCTGTATGTTTACACCTATACTGTTCCCTGTCCCACGAGGTCAGGTTTGCTTACCGTGGGGCTTTCCTGCTTTACAGCACATTCTGGTAACCAGTTGATTTTCAAAGTTGGGGCGGTGAGAGTTATTGCTAGTGATTGGTAGGAGAGAGTTTGCATCTTGTTATTTCGGTTCTTCCAAACAAACACCCCATTTTATCTGAGTCCTGCTGATTGCTTCAGATGTTGCATGTAGAGAACCTCCCCTCAGTTGTATCCTTCAAGTTGCATGTCGTCCCAAAGCAAAGATTTACTCCTGTTCATTTGTACACAGACAGGCCCAGCCAGGTCTTCCAATCTCAAGAAAAATCTATGTGTATATAGTTGCCTGTTTTTGGATGGTTCATATGATAAGTGACAAGGCCTGCAAGTATAAAGCCTGTAGGCATGATTGCACTATTCTCTACCAATCAGAACATGTATATGGGAGGGAAGCATCTTTAAAGGTCAAAGAATAGCCTGTGATGACCCAGGGTGAGACACAAGACAAACACAGTCACAGAAAACAGGTGAAGCCCCTTTTATTCCTTCATTTTGCTTCCAAGCTCTGAATATTCTTGACGGAAGACAAAAAAAACTCCCACACAAACAGTTACAAGAGAAGGGAAAAAGCAACACAAACCAGGCAAGATAAGGGCTGGAGGATGTCCACAGATAACACACTTGGAAGGATGCCAAACTCAGAGAGGAGCCATAAACTAGAGATATTTCCACGCTTTGTTTCCAGTGTTTGCCCCTACGCAGGTACATCCTCTTATTCAGTTGTCACAGCTGCAGCCCATGAAGAGGATCAAAACCCTCTCCTCCCGAGTAGACCATGTCTCTCCTTTATCCTCTCCTCCCTGCATGCCCTAGGATGGTGAGGGGATGGGCCTGGGTCCTCCTCTGACTGCTCAGCCAGTCTCTGCCCTTCCCCAGCCTCCTCCACAACCTCCGGAGCCACACTTCCACTCCCTGTGGGCTGTTCCTCCTCTCCCTCAGAGTCAGTCTCCACCAAGGGCATCACATAGCCTAAAATAGAAACAACCCCTGAAGAATTTTCCCTCTCCCAATAAGAATAGGACAAACCAGGCCTTGCAGAGGCCTGCGATGAAAGATAGGAGTCCAAACCCAGGTTCTGGGTGATGGGGGAAAGAGTCAGTGTTGCTGCATTGGCAATGATTTTCCAAGTTTGTCCTTAGCTTCAGACTTTAAACAGGATGTCTGATTTGTACAGCACAGTAAATGAATGACAGGCAGAGCTCTCTGTGATTATTATCTGGCTTTCATTGCTGGCAGGAGAAACTTGTGGAAGTGTTCAGTGCGGCTGTTTCTTCAACAGCAAAAAGGCATCCAGAAATGATTTTAGAATGGGCTTCTCCTGCTCATAGGCAAGAGAGCTATTGGGAAAGAAAAAGTGTCCACGCCTGAAACAGATAAACTTAAGACAACTTGTGTAGCCAGGTTTGGCTAAGAATGAAATAAAACAAAGCAGGGATGAGGAGACTATCATGTCAAGGACCTTGATATCACGTGCAAAGAATCAGGGCCATTCACAAGGCTGCAGCATCGAAAATTTATTCAAACCTACACATAAGAATCTGGTCAACTAAAGTTTGATGCTAAATTGACACCAAATAAGAGTCAACAGAATTACAGGAGAGGTTGGACTTGGAATGCTTATTGGAATGCAAGGATTCCAAACTAATGATGCCTTTAACTCTGCTCCCAGCTCTATCTGCTCTTCTCCTACATTTAAATATTGTTTTCCAGAATCCAGCAAGAACATGACATTTTTTTTTCCTTTACAAATTCCAAACAGCTGATTTTATTGTAGAAACATTGTTGGAAGGGAGCATCTTAACTTACAATTTATGTTTCTTTCTGATATCTCCAACTACCGGTAATTCAGAGATGAGGTATTGAAACTGGACATCAAAACAATTGTATTACCCCAAACAAACATTAAATATTTATTTTATTTTCTGTTAAACATTTATTTTATATACTAATTTAATTATTTATAGCAAGGTGGTTTGATGGCTTTCAGACTGATAATGCTCTTTGCTATATCATATGTGACCCATGCCATCAAATTATAATAATTTGCAGCCTATGTTTTCTTTTGCATGAGCTGCTCTAGATTTCCACCCACTCAAGCCTTGATTAATCACTCATTATTTTTATGCCTGCTCCTTTTAATTTAGGATATTTGTAAGTTATGTAAGTGAGTGCATTAGAGGAGGAAAAAAAAAGGCTGACCTCACATTCTGTTCCCCTGGAGGCTCTTTTTTGCTCAGTAGGAACTTGCTTTGATGAGTACTCCGCTCAGTTCATATTAGGGATAAAATTGAGTGCTGAAGGTCTGTTGTCAGAAGAGACAGAAGAATACAAGACTAATCAAGGTCAGTTAAGTGTAGGTCCTTTCCTCGCCTTTTGGGAGATTAGTCTTTAAGCTTGTGGCGTGTTTAAAGGCGTCCCCCCTCCAAACAAAAAAAAAGACCCCCCCCCCTCCTTGAAGTTTCCTTCTCTTAGCCTGAGCTGAAATTCTGTGGGAACTGGAAGCAGCTGTCATGGACTTCTTTTTTTGAGGAGCCTGGAAGCATCTTTGGGACCATTTTCTGTAGTCCCATGACTTTCTGCATTCAAGAGCTGAGTCAGTTGTAGGCGAGTTGTGAGTTGTGGGTGTTCCAACAATGGAGGTTTTTAAGAAGAGATTGGACCACCACTTGTCTGAAATGGTATAGAGCTTCCTTCCTTGAGCAGAGAATTGGACTAGAAGATCTCCAAGGTTCCTTCCAACTGTGTTATTCTGTCAACAGCAAAGCTAGTATTTTTCTTGTTCAGCATTGAATCTTCAAAAGTCTGTTTTCCTCATTGACTGGAAGTTTTCCTCACCTCCTGGCTTCTGAATTCATGGTTCTCCCTGTATCTTCCAGATAACTTTCCTTTAAAAAAATTTAGGGAGAGGGGACTTTTCTTTCAAGGCAATAGATGGAAAACCACCACAACACAACAGCCAAACTGCTGAGATAAAGCGGGAAGAGGATCCAGCTCTCTTCAGTGTCACTTACCCCTGTTCTCTGCCTGGATTGCTATGCGCCCAGGAAGAATTGCAAACAGATGGCAGCAATTACAAACTGCTTGATTTGTTATATCCTCTACAGTTGGTCCTCTACTTTTGTTACTGAACCGACAAGCTACTGTGGAAAATGCTTAATAGAAAACATTGATGACATGCTATTCTTCCAATTTCACTGGGATATGGTGGTTTCTGAACAGAAACAAAAGAATGGTACATCTGTAGCCAGCTAGATTCTTCCTATAGCCATCACTCAGATTTATTTTCAAATGAACAGAGAAATGTACTTTATAGGCACGGTAATGTAATTGGGGATGCTCTTAAACTTTTGTGTAGAATGGGGGGCAGGTAGTTTTATTACTCCAGGCATAGCAGCTGATTTGGAAAAAAAAAAAAGCCACTCAGTTGAAGGGGCCCTTTGATTGGCTCATTGTATGTCCATGTTTCAAGATTGTAGTATGTAACTTCTTCTAACTTTTATGGCTGATCTTCCTAGGCTCTTGGACACCTTGGGGTTTCTGAAGAATCTGTTATATCTGCACTTCGTAATATTGTAAGTATGTGGACTCCTCCTGCAGTTTTAGATAATTTCAGAGTTTCCTAGGCTTGCATTCCTTCTTTTCTTTGAACTGTATGGTTTTCCTTGTATGGTTGATCGCTAGGAAGAATGGGAACTGTAGTCCAGTGTTGTTGATTCATGATTTTCTAGTATTTGTGATGAGCAGCACTTTTCAAGCTCTGAAGCCATGTTGTAAAGCTCTCATAAATGGCTATCATACTGGGAGGAGAGGGGTTTATCCAATCCCAGAATGATGTGCATTGCCAGCCACACAATGCCCATTTCCAAAAAGGCAAACTGGATGCCCCAGGGTGCTCCCCACTACCAAATCCAACTGTCAGGTTGCTCTCAACCACTTTAACTTTGTAGTTGTTATGAATAGTCAGATCCAAGCAAAGTACAGTACTGAGTTATATTTTTATTTTCTAAAAATGCTTCCATTAAAGTTACGTGGTCCTTGAAGCAGGGCAGGGAATAAAGGATGATGATTGAGGCATACAAAGCTCCCATTTCTTATCTTTTTGAAATGACAAAAATCTTTAAAACAGGGCTTTCCAACCAGGGCAATTTGAAGACTTGTGGACTTCAACTCCCAGAATTCCCCAGCCACTATGTTAAGGTTGACAAGTTTTAAAGTTGCCAAGGTTGGGAACCCTGCTTTATAATGTGTTGAAAAAGCTGGAAGCCTGCTAGGCATCAAGGAAGCCCAAGGAAGTGTTAGCGTGTCCATTAGTGGAGCAGGACAGAGAGAGTACCTTGCCTTGCTTTTGATTCAGGTTGCTGTGGAGAAGGAGGGAAGAAAAGGAGGGGCAGTGGCAGCTCCGTGTTTTTGAAAATATCTAGTTAGGTCCTCAACTGTCAGACATAAACACCGATAATGGCAAAGCCTTCACAGTAAATTGGCATGTATGTAACAGTGTGACCATTACAGGGTCAAATATAGCATTTCTCATTTATTATGGGCTGTATCAAGATACAGGTTTCTCTTTTTATATTCTGTCCTGAGGGGGTGGTAATTTAATGCCTCACTCGCAGACCCCTTTCACTGCAGGAATAGATAATTAAAACAGGATGCTACCAGTAACATGCCCTCATCTATCTAACTGGGGAATTCTTAACAAACTGTGTGTCTGAAGGTGCCTTCAAGGAAGGGACCAGTACAAAACCTTGGAACGTGTATTGCGGCAACACAACATTTCATCATTTTGACATTATTGTGTTTGAAAACAGATACTTATGTTTGCGCTGCCCTTTAAACTGTGCATCATGCATGTGGGGAAGCTTTTAAGCAAAAACTCATTTAGGAAACCAATAAGGCCTATCTTTAAACATGGAAAGGAGAAATAAAGGCAATAACCATACATACGTTCAAATAAAACCTTAGCTTTGCTGAAGTAGTTTCTCAATATTAAATATTAATTGAATAAGGTCCTGGATTTCAGAACCTATTCAGAGTTCATTTCAGAAAGTAAAAACAGAGAAACACCATTGCATGGATGTCATCTAATAAGCTCTCATTTCTTCTCCTGACCTTGACTGCCAATGTTACAGGACTAGAAGAATAATTGAAGGGCAGTCTTTTCCAGCGGTTTGACGGTTACTTTCCCAATTCCAGCAAATAGCCGGAGGCTTGCTGGTAAATCGGAAAAACCCTCTAGGCTGAATTCACTTTTCTACTGACCTTTGCTTGGAAGATAAAAAACCAGAGCTAATTTTAATTACTTTTACATTGGATAAAAAGGATCATGTGACTTGAATGAGGCCTTTTGTATTTGCAGAAACAGGCCTTTGAACATACGGTCAAGTTATTCTTTTCTTTTCTCCCTCTGTGTGTGTGCTGTTGTGCCATTTGAAAACTTATGGGTTAGATATACCCCTGACCTATTCCACCAAGGAATAACTGATTTGACTAGAAGGCACAAAATAGGGAGAACTTATAAATTACGGAAGAAAATTCAGTTTCTATGCAAAAGGGGTAACAGGACAGTCTCAAAGTTGCACTCTGGGACAAAGTTTGAGAACAATACAAAAATGGAACATTGGCACCTCTGCAGATAAGATTCCAGATGAGATGAAATATTTCTGTGGGTTTCTGAAGTTTTAGCAAATGAGCCCTGAAGTTTGTTTATTGTGGCTGCACTACTAGAGTTTGCTTTCTTACCATTTTATGGTGGGGAATATATACACACATATGTACATACATAGATACATACATAGATACAGATACATACATACATACATGCATGCATATACACCAGAGGTGGCATTCAGTAGGTTCTGACCAGTTCTGAAGAACTGGTAGCAGAAATTTTGAGTAGTTCAGAGAACCAGCAAATACCACCTCTGACTGGAGATTTTACAGTATCCTTCCCTGCCACACGCACCAAGCCACGCCCACAGAGCCAGTAGCAAAAAAAATTGAATCCCACCACTGATACACACACATATCCATACTGTTAACACAGTTTTTTAAAAAAACAATCAAAGCCGCCCCCCCTCTCCCCAAGCTGAAGTAGCTAAAAACGAGATTACAAATAAAACTAGATCATGGGTTTGGCTCAGTTCCACATTCTGTGATCCACAACCTGCCCCAAATCATTAAATGTGGTATTTGCCTCCAAAACGTCACTATGAGGCTCACAATAATTGAGCAAACCCCACTCCCTCCAACCTTTCTTGCCTTCGTATTTTAATTTCCTCTTTTAAAAAAAACTCCATCCCTCTCCACAAGTACAATGTGTAGACCTAGGAAATAAAGTACAAGGCAAAGGAATTGCAGAATTTTCCATCATGGCTCTGGGTCTCAATATGGAGCCCAGAAGCTTATTGAAAAGTTTTAGTCACATATTAAGAATCACACCATTAGCCATACACCAAGCGGTGGCCTGGTGATGAAGACACATGCCTACTATTCAGAAGTGTGAGAGTTCAATCTTAGGTAGTTGCAGATGTTTTTCCTCCTAGGGCAAAAAGAAAAAATATTTACTGCAAACTCCATTTGGCGTCAGGAAGGGCATCCGGCCAGTAAACGCTTAGCTCCATCCAATCTCCCTGACTCTACCCTGAATTAAAGGATTACAGGGTCGTAAAAAGGGAGTTATTAAGGATCTCACCAATTGCCATATTTGGTATAGGTAGTCCTCGTTTATTGACTGCTTTATTAGAAACGGTTTGCAGTTATGATAGTGATGGAAAAGTCACTTTGCAACTAGTCCTTGCATTTACCATCTTTCTAGGTCTGTAAAGCAAAGGAAAGATGAAATAAGATGATAAAGACAACTGCGGCTTAATTTAGCAACTGCTTCACTTAACAATTGAATTGCTGGTCCCAACTGTGGTTGCTAAACAAGGACTACCTCTGTAAGTGTTTTGCTCTTAGATTACAACCGCACGAGCCATAAGCCCAGGAAAGGCTGGTTTTATATTGAAAATAAAAAATGTCTTGAGGTACTGATAATTATTTGCCCCTTGTGCACCTGTTCTGTTCTTATACTACACAGTCGTCTTGGTTGGGCTGCAATGAGTGAATCTGAATCCTTCCAGTTCTTTGTTTCTGTGGAGTTTATGCAGGATTTCTTTTTAGCCTTTCATCAATATTTACATTCTCAGGTTCAAGAATGTGACGATACCCCTTTGCAGTATGAGGCAGCCCGATCTCTGGCTTTGCTTGGTGAGTGACTTTTCTTTTCAAATCATGGACAAAGAGACCTCCAGTGGAAAGACATTAGATTGGCTGGGACTGCTGATTTTAGATTGTTCAACTGGACAGTGATTTCTCTGCTGGTGCTTGTAATCCTGGGACTTTGCCATAGTGTTTCTTTGAAACAGGACCTCGTTATAAACCCATTGCAGTTAACTGCTTTGTATTGTGTGCATTAAACCAGGTGAATTACTTTAGCGTTGAAAATACAGTTAGCCGTGCATGGTGGTGGAGTGGGGATGTACACAAATATTGAAGCTAATTTAAATCAAATTATTAGAAAGTGGTGGCTTCCTTGGATTGAGGAAGGATTCTTTATTGATTGTGTGATCACTCGGATAGTAAGAAATGGGAAAACAGGGATTCAAGCTGAGAGACAGCCCAGGCATAATTTTTATTGGATCTCTTTCATTGCAGAAGTATCCTCTGGATTGACATTTTCCCCCCAAAAGGGACTGCTTCCTAGCAGCCATCCTTGGATGAAAAGAGAGCCATACCTGCTGTCTTTCTCAGGTGGTTTAATGCCACTTCCCAGAGCACAGTGGTCTAACTGAGGGGAAAATAGACAAAATATGGACAAAAGTTTTTTAAAAGGCCAACCAAATAGATGCGGTTAAGTGAAAGGTAGGTGAAACAGGAGGTCACTTTGCTGTTTCAGGAAAAGGATAAAAATATTAATAAAAGAGCAATGCCCCACTCCAAAGGACAGTGACAGGTGTCACTACAACAGACATGTCCTCTTTGTGGATTGAAACTTAAAAATCTTACAACCTTCTTTGCAAAATATTTGGTGAATGAGTAGAAAAATCTGATAGCTAGTCAAAGGAGAATTTTTTTTTACTTTGAACGAAAAACAAGGGTGGCAATGCTGGAAGGAAGAACAAATCTAAGTGCTCAGATGTTTTGAAAGGGACGTATGGAGAAAATACTCACATAGGAATGTGCCTGAGGCTAATGTTCTGTACTTGTGCTCATGGAAAGGGTGCGGATTGAGCTGTCATGACTTTCTGTGGCAGAGAATGCAACGTATATAGGATTCTTGTTAATTTTATCAGATGCAGACAACCGCACATGTTATGCAGCCTGGTATTTAGTATCCGATCCTGAAACCCACATTTTTTAAAAAAAATCAAGGCTAAAATTGGTTTCTGTTTCCAAGAAAGGAACTAATAAACAGTTTTAGTGTTGTGAATTTGTCAGATTTCTGGGTTTTAATTCTATTGTAGACTCAAACCTTGTGGAGAAACAAAGATGTATGTTGAGGCATGCCTTCCCGTATGTTCCCTGGGTTGAGATTTAAGGCAGGCAACAGCTGTGCACAGCTGGGAGTGAAAACAGTGCAAACAGTGGGCCATAGGTGCAAGGAACTGTACATATGATGAGGCTCCATTGCACTGCCCAGTAACGTACACTTCAAGGATGGAAGTCACAAGAACCTTGAAATCCTGCTACACTTATGTAACTTGAGTCTTATTGATAGCAGTTGTTGGTTTCCTGATCTATTACAGCTTTTCTAGTATATAACAGTTCATTAGTTATAATAACGAACTAGTTTATCGAAGAGCTGTATCCTGGAGGCAGCAGCTCCTAGCCTTTGTCATTAAAATTGTAATTGTAATGGATGTGTCTGGCCTCTGGCTCTCTGACCGTAGTTCTCCTAGCCTCACAGTGAAAACTCTTGCTGAAATGATGAGAAAGGGCTGTAGCTCAGAACTCCCGTGTCTTCAAAATGCTAGATGTCATCCATTACATAAATAAGCTTCTGGAGGAGTCTTAGAACATCCCCCCCCCCCTCATTATTCGCTCCTAATGTATTTTTCTGTGATTGCTGATGAATTTTCAATGTAGGTGTTTTTGTTTGTGTGTTTTTGTTTTGCTTTGCTTGGTCTCATTACTTCTTCATTCTCTGGGGTAGGTTGCCTGGAGACTTGTGTAATGAAAGTGCTAATTCGACACCTGAAAGTAGCAAGCCTGAATCGGAGAGAAGACACACTGGCTGCTCTAAAAGTTGTTTTGCAAGCATGGTCAACAACACCCTCCTTTGAGGTAATATATCAGAATGCATAATACTACAGATAGGCTGAGGCTGACCTAAGCTCAGGGTAACCGTTTCCCTTCTGGAATTCTACTCTAGACAACACTGCTGTACTTAAACTAATTCAGCTCCTCTCTCTCCACAGTATTACTGCATTGGGGCTCGGTCCAGTTTAACTCGAAATCTGAAACGTTTGGTGAATTTGCAGGAACCCTTGGACAACATCACCTTCAATGCAGCTCTTTGCTTGGGGTACCTGGACAAGTCCAATCCAATTGCCCAAGAGACAATGTTCATGTCTTTGACCCATGTAGAGAGAAAGAAAAGGTTTCAGGTGGGGAAGCCATATGCGAATGCAGAGATTTAAGCTGCATTTCTGCCTTCTCAAAAGGTCTCTAGGGTACCTCAGAAATGTTTGTCCAGGAAAAGGAAAGGAGGAAAGGAGAATTAGATTGGATCTGCATTTTAATCGGAGAAGAAAGCTTTCTTGGGATTAATGATGCTTCTGTTTAGAAATAGATTTTAAAAAAAATATATGATTGTCATTGTTCATGGAGAGCTTTGGTTTCCTTTTCCACTTGACAGCCCCTTTTCTAATAAAAACCTTGGTGAGTAAAAGAAAAAGGCTACAAATACACAAAGCTATACAAAGAATATCTGACGTGTATCTGTTCTGTGGCTCCACCCAATGGTGAATGGAAACTTTGACCCAGGCTGAATTAAACAAGACTCTAGGAAATGAATTACTGGATCTCCAAAGAAGAAAAAAAGCTGCAGAAGATGGAATAGAAAATTGAATCGAGGCTGTAGCGTTAGGAGAACAGACTTAGCATTAATATACAGTATTCTTTGCTGCAAACTTGCATTACAAACCTGCATATATTTTTTTTTAAAAAAGGGCAGTAATAAAAAGCTAAAGACAAAAGCGTAGGATTGAGATGACAATTTTTCAAATGCAGAATGACAGATAACTATGATATAAAAATATGTTGCCCTTGGCCTTTCCCCAGCTATACCTAACTATGGTACAAATATATTTGAGCAGCCTTGTTTTTCTGCTCTTTCCTCAAGAGGTTGCCTTTATGTGTTGCCAAACTCATAATTGATGCAATGTAAAGTAATCCCTGGCTGTTTCAGTGTTAAGTATTATTGTCCTCCTCAAGCAGGCAACAGGTCCTGGCAGATCTTCCATGAGTTTTAAGGGATGGTATCAGCCTGATACTTATTGGCTACTATAGAATGGAGTAAGTACACCATTTCCTTGAACACTATCCACTAAGGCCATTCTTCTTTGAACTATGGGAGAATCTGGATCTTTAAAACTGGACTCTCGACATATAGTAGCCAGGCCACCTAGACATTCTATGATTTGGAGCCCTGGATCAGTTCAAATAGCTGATTTAATAGTGTTGATGAGGGATGACTGTCCAGTGGAATGAGAGTAAGTGTGTGTGTGTGTGTGTGTGTGTGTGTGTGTATGTGTGTGTGTGAGAGAGAGAGCACTCTACCACTTGAAAATATACTATTCCTCTTATTCCACTTCCGCTCCTATCAGCTGTTGTTTGGGCTGCTTTTAAATATGGGTTTAGCGCAGAGATGGTATTCAGCAGGTTCTGACCAGTTCTGGAGAACCGGTAGCAGAAATTTTGAGTTCGGAGAACTGGCAAATACCACCTCTGACTGGAGATTTTGCAGTATCCTTCCCCTGCCAGGCCCATCAAACCACGCCCACAGAACCGGTACTAAAATTTTTTGAAGAAGTGTGCTAAACTCACGTTAGCTCATTTTGAAGCATTCTAAACCCAAGTCCTAAAACTGCTTGACTGTGAATTCTTGGCTCAGAGTCTGGTGGGTAGCCCTTTGACTTGGCCATATGGAAAGGTCTTATGCAAAGGCTCAAACAATAAAAAACAAAAACAAAAGAAATGTTGGAATCTTCTTTTCTTGAGCTTTTTCAAGAGTTGTTGGACAAGTAGCTAGCAATAAAGAATCACGTTTTGATTCAAAGCTTAACTTAGCTTGAGGCTTTCCATGTTTTTCCTTAATGCCTTGAATCTAGACAGGCCTTTGTGGGTTCAGCTTGAATTGTTTTTCTCCTTTTTCTTCTGAACCTGGGTTACTCTATCCACATCTCCCTTCTGTAGGCTTTGATTATGCTGGTAAAGCACATGGGCATAATGAATGCGATCGTTATCCGGAAGGTCTTAGACCACCTAGAATGTTCCCCTGTGTACAAGGTAAGAGATTTGAGCCAGTATTTAATTTTTGTTTAACTTGTTTAATTTAATTTCCTACTGATGTGTGGGTCTATAGATCTTTCTCCCACTGCTCACTTTCTTGATTTGGCTGCTCAAGATTATTGATTAACTTTCTGGCTTTGGTATATATACTTTAATAATGCATTTACCTCTTTTGCTTTTTCATTCATTGATTCATTCATACTGTAATTCCATCTTTTGTCCACATAACAGTTCAGGTGATGTTGTAAGCATTAAAATAACTATTCTCAAAACCAGTATTCTATAGTTAATAATCCAGAGGTTGGCGGATAATTTGCAGAATCGAACAGGATGGGACAGGACAGACCTCAAAAACTGCATGAGTCTGACTTTATCACTACTGGGAATCTATGCTCAGTTCAAGTTTTGTTTTAGACATTAGCTAGAATAATAGAAATGAAGATCTTATAGCACTTTATTCGGCATAAGGTTTCAAAAACTTAATCCATAGAGAGAGTATTGGATAATATGGTGTTCTATCCACTGATTTTTCAGTAAGAGACTAGCGCGTGAGCATGCTTTTGTTCGGTATTCAGTGCCAAAAAGGTTTGCCAACACTGGTATAGGGTTTCCTGCTAGAACAGGGGGTTGGACTAGAAGACCTCTAACGTCCTTTCCAACTCTGTTATTCTGTATCTTGCGAATGAAATCGCTTCACCTCTGAATGCTGCTAAACAGGGCAGTCTTGGTTCAGACAATATTTAGGTCCAGGTCTTTTTACACTCATTGTTCACTTCCCTCCCCAACTATGTTGGAGAAGGAAATCTTCAATATATTTGGATGCTTACCAGAACACTGCTATAAGCTTTTTGGTAGGAACTAAGTATATTAATAAAGAAATTTAGGTGGATATATTATTTGATAAAATCAGAAAAGAGAGAGCTTAAAACATCTTCCCTGGAATATTATAGCATTATTGAAATAAATCCATGAATCAATGGCCTCTATCTAATTTATCCATTTATATGTCGTATTTCAAAACCGACCATCTACCTTACAGAGTGACCCTGGGTGGTATACAACTAAAATAGTTAAAAAGAACTGTGGTCTAAGGAAAGTGGAAAAAGAACAAAGTTTATAGTCTTTCTGCAGACTTAATTAATAAGTCTGGATGACATTTCTAGGAAAACTGTATATTCTTTCATATGTTTGATGCATGAACAGCTGTGGATAATAGGAAACAGCCATTCCGCTTAATGCAAAATACATCAATAAGGACCAAATTGAAGAAAGCTTGTACTGAAATCCCAATCCCATTACTAGCTGAGTAGTTCACATTTCTTCTCTTTCCATCTAGCATCGTGCTGATGCCACAGACTTGTTAACCACCATAGGCCTTGAAATAATTCAACAGGAGGAACTAGAGGAGGATGTTTTTAATGTGCTGCTCAAGAAGGTATCTGATGAGCCTTTCCTGGTAAGGGTGAAGACATTTGTACCTACTGTCTACCTACCTAACTACCTATTGATTTTTGGTTGCTGGTTACTTTTTACCGCTCTACCATCGAGAGCATTTTGGCATACTGTGTAATGGTGTGGTATGCTGGATGCTCTGTAGTGGATAAGATGATGCTCTAGAGAGTTAGAAACACAGCACAAAAAATCATCGGTTGTTCTCTTTCTTCTTTGGAAGAGATTGCGAAGACGAGACTCCTCTCTAGAGCACTAAAAATCTCCACAGACTGTTCTCATCCTGGTCACACATATTTTGAATTGTTACGATCAGGTAGATGTTATAGGTGTCTTAAAATGAGGACTAATAGACTGAGAAACATTTTCTTTTCCAAGGCAATAATTGTCTTGAATCAAATAGTACGTTTGTGATTTAGTCCTATGCATAAAGTGGCATTTTTAAACTATCTAAGTTAATCTATGTTTTAAATAGGTTTTAGACTAGGTTTTTTATTATTATTATTATTACTTTAATTTATTTTAATTTTTAAATACTCTGTAGTGTGACTGTGATGTGGTGTTTGGGGCACTGTGCTGGAGTAGCTTTCAAATTTCATTGTATTTTGAATGCAATGATAATAAATGTATTCTATTCTATTCTATTCTATTCTATTCTATTCTATTCTACTCTACTCTACTCTACTCTACTCTACTCTATTTGATTGATATATTGGCTTTCCTCTAGTAGCTCAAAGTGATGTACATAGTATTGTCTCCTTCACTTTTTTACACAGTAACCACATGGGGGGGGGGGAGACCTGAGAGAGGATTAATTGATTGATTGATTGATTGGACATATGTGTATGGCTGCCTATTTTGCAAGAAGCAACTCTGAGGATCCTGCTCAAATTAACCCTGAGATTTTCCATGCCTGAAAGTAGACATAGACATGGGCTTCTCTGGTCTTAGTCAAATTTATAACCACTATTCAGAGGTGACAAACTAGTAGCCCGTGGCCTGGATGCTTCACACGCAGGCCCACCCCAGGTCTGCGAAGGGGAAAAAAAACGTTGCAAGGCGTCATGTGATGGCAATGTGACACCACAAGTTTGACACCCATGCACTCCATCATCAAATTGTGATGGTTCATTATTGAGTCTCTCCTTGGTCAGTTTCCAGGCCAGGAAGCTTCCATGGAAGATCCCATGCATATTTTCTGATTCATATTTTCTTGAAAAAAACAGTTCTTCTGTTCTTCTGTTGAGAACAGAAAGGCAAATGTGCCTGGGAGGAAGATTGGCACAGGTAGAACCTGTTGCTCTCTTTTATGTTCTGCTGCAGATCAAATTTTAGGCACACCCTCTTGCTATCCAGCTGCTGCTTTTATTTCTGTTCTAACAGGTCTTCGCAGATAAGGTTCATGTTGTACCTCAATTATGAGATCTTTATAGCTATGTGATTTGAAAAGAAATAGGCAGATTTTTTTTATATCCTGGCCCTTTCACAGAAGTAATTAAAATTCCCAATTTTACTAGAACTTCAGCTCTCATGTTTCCCAACTTCAGAAGCTGTTTATTGTATTGTTTATTATATTGTATTGTATTGTATTCAATTCAGGGAATTGAAACCCTGGCCAATATAGAGATGGGAAAGCTGTCTTAGAATGGGAATAGATATTTGTCTTTCTGTCCATGGTTATATTGCAATGCTGCTGTGCTACCCAATTCACAGTTTATACATTTCAGGTGGTATGCTCTAAGCCATGGATAATATTGATTTTTTATTGATTATGTGCCATCAAGTAATTTTTGACTCTAAGCAACCACATAGGCAGATTTTCTCTATGATGATCTATCTCTAACCTGTTTTTTTCAAGTCCCTCAATTGTACTCCCATCACCACTGTAACTGAGCCCATCCATCTTACTGCCAGCTGTCCTATTCTTCTATTTCCATCCACCTTTCCCAGCATAAAAGCCTTTTTCCAGAGAGCTGGGTCTTCGCATACAGCAGCATAAAAAGCTTATCATAAATGCATCCCTACATGGGAAGCATAATGGAAGGAGCTTGCCAGCTAATTGGGAAGTAATCCTTAGGTTGAGGCCTGAGGTTCTAACCCACAAAACAAACAAATTCTCCAACTCAACAGTAATTCCTCTCTTAAGGTCAGAAGGTTTGCAATTCTGATAGGAGTCAAGACTCCATCATACATTAGGAGAATTCAGCGACTGAGTCATGCTGGATCATTTTGCTTAAATATTCAGTGCCCCCTTATTTGTACCTGAGCCCTTCACTTGTTTCTTTCATCCACCATTCAGATAGTCCGGCAGAAAATTGCTTTGGCTATTGAAGAACTCAAAATGAAAATGCGAGTTTGGGAAATAGTGGAAAGGTAAGTGGCATACAAATGTAATGTGCTCTCTCTGTGTCTCTGTCTGTCTGTCTGTCTGTCTGTCTGTCTCTCTCTCTTTCAAGTGACTTGAAAATGGCCCATGGTTATCTTAGCTGATGCCAGTCTTGAAACACTGAGAACTGGCAAGCCAATCAGTGTTCTCTCCCAAACTGACAAATCAGAGTGCAAAACATTCCAATAATTCTGCATAATTTAGTACAGGTTGGACAACCTGCAGTTGGCAGGGGCATGAGAGAGAGAGAGAGAGAGAGAGAGAGAGAGAGAGAGAGAGTCAAGATGGCAGCCGAAACTGTGTGATCCCAAATACCATGCGATGGATAAGGGGAAAGATGGGCAGGGGAGGCTGCTGCAGCATCCCTGGGGTCAGTTATAAGGTTGAACATCCATAGGGGCACTGCAATGGCTGTTAAATAACTTTGGGGGAGTCTGTCATAACTTGGAGTAGTCTCTAAACAACCGGTTGTAAATCAAGGACTACCTGTAAAGTATTTTTTTTTTTACACAGATTTGTTATACTTGTGGTGTGTCCAGTTCTTGAAGAGCAAAAAACCCTCACAATGCCCTTCAGTATCTCAAGAGGGAAGCTGAGTTTAGTGTGATTTGGGAAGTGTGGCTTTTGTGCCAGAAATAAATCAATTCACTTGCCAAAGAGAAGCAAAGGAATGGGCTGGTGCAGTGCTGATCTGGAAACAGCCCAAAGATCCCTTGTGGGAGTGGACCTATTGTGCCCCATTTTCTCCCCACTTCAGCTCATACGAGAAACCCATTAAGGGACAATATTTGTTTATGGCAGCAGCACTGTGAGAATCCTATGAGCCTCATTCACATAATTATATTCCAGAGTAATTATTGCTGTATTTATCCTTTTTATACATGAGAGACCACATTCTGAAGGTTGCAAAATCCTCATTTGTACACAGATGACTTTTTTTTTTAATCTGGGGAAATATGGCGTAGGCAGCTTGATCAGTACTCTCTCTCTCTCTCTCCCTCTCTCCCTCTCTCTCTCTTTCTCTCTCTTACTGTGTGTGTGTGTGTATGTGTGTGTAGTTAATGAAAAAGTGATGAGAAAAACACAGACTTGCCATATGGTAGCAAAAGTGATAAAATCAAAAGATGTTTGTTATAATCATGCCCTCAGGATCTCCCTCTCTCCCCCCCCTCTCCCTTTCCCTCCCTCCCTCTCTGTACTGTAGGAAGAGGCTGTAGTTAGGAATTTCTAGCATAAAAGATCCAGTGGGATTCTCTCTATCAGTAGCAACACTCAGGCCTGCTTGGGTGGGTTTTCCCTGTAACTCTGAGTCATGGGTACAGAAGACTAGCACCACAGGAAAGGTAAACCGATAATACAGTAGTTTCTACTAGTCCAAATAAATAAGGAACCCCCTAAGTATACTCCAGTCTTATGTAGGTTTACTAAAAAATAATTTTCAGTGCCTTCAATGAATCTTACCCATAAACAATTGTTTCATAACTGTAGAGATTCTGCAACTGAGTGTATTTATAATCTTATACTGGTAGAAGAATGTCGAGGTGAGGCACAGATTCCGAAGATCTATAAAATGGCATCTGATAGTAGAACAGTTATTGCTGGCCAGATAAGCAAAGGACTCCACACACACACACACACACACAGAGAGAGAGGGAGACAGAGACAGAGACAGAGACAGAGAGACAGAGACAGAGACAGAGACAGAGAAAGAGAGAGAGAGACAGAGAGACACACACACACACACAGAGAGACAGAGAGGCAGAGAGGCAGAGACAGACAGAGAGACAGAGAGACAGAGACAAATACAAAGACAGAGGATGGATAAGGCAAGGACGGAAGACTTAAACGTATATCCTATCCAACGCTAGAATGCAGCCAGAAGCATGATGCTGGTATGAATCCCAATTCATCTCCAAAGTATTGACTCCAACAAAAACAACATGTGTTAACGTCCAGCCATGTTTACTAAAGATTCTGAGAAGCAGCATAGTTCCAGCTTCTCCTATATAGACTCATCTGGCTCACTGGCCACACTGACCACTCAGAATTGGGCTATTCTTTAGGATTTGTCATCCAACTGGGTAAGCTGGGAAATACAGGTAGTCCTCGATTTACAACAGTTCATTTAGTGGGCCATTCAAAGTTACAACAGCACTGAAGAAAGTGACTTAGGACCAATTTTTCATACTTATGACCGTTGCAGCAGCATCTCCATGGTCATGTGATTTATATTTGGATGCTTGACAACTGACTCCTCATTAATGGCGATTGCAGTGTCCTGGGGTCATGTGATCCCCTTTTGTGACCTTCTGATGAGCAGAGTCAATGGTGAAGCCAAGGTCACTTAACAACCGGGTTACTAACTTAACAATTGCAGTGATTCACTTAACAACTCTGGCAAGAAAGGTAATAAAATGGGGGCAAAATTCACTTTACAAATGTCTCACTTAGCAACAGAAATTTTGGGCTCAATTGCAATTGTAAGTCAAGGACTACCCATATAAAGCAGAAAAGCTTCCTTTTTTGAGAATGGTTTTTTAGAAAGGGTTCTTTCAAAGAATGATATACTGGAATGCCTCTCCATCTCTTTTATTAAATATCAGGGCAATTGAGAAAATGTCCCTTTCTATTTCACTTAAATATTCCTTCTTCTTCTTCCACAGGCAGCTAAAGGATGAGGATGATGTGATCCGGAAACAGGCGGTGATTACGTTAGTAAGTCTTAGTTCCTGCCTAGCCCATTAGCTTCAACCTATCAGTCTGCAATAGCAATAGCACTTAGACTTATATAGCGCTTTACCGTGTTTTACAGCCCTCTCTAAGCAGTTTTACAGAGTCAGCCTATTGCCCCCAACAATATGGGTCCTCATTTTACCCACCTCAGAAGGATGGAAGAATGAGTCAACCTTGAGCCTGGTGGGATTTGAACTGCCAAATTGCAGGCAGCCGGCAGGCAGCAGAAGTAGTCTGCAGTACTGCACTCCAACCACTGCGTCACCACAGGTCATCCAAAAGGGGTCTTACAGGAGAAATTCAGAAGGGAAGTTGGCTTCTGATTATGCAGGAAAGTTTTCCATCTTCTCCTTCCTCCCAGCACTGGATGTTCCTTTAGACCTACTGCTGAGGGCCTTTGAATTCTCTGGGGCAGATGGGGACATTGCCTGAGAATCTGCAAGAGAAAGACTGTTGGGAGATATTTGGCTAATTTAGATGCAATCCATGAAGTTCCTCCTACTTTGTTTTTTACTAGGGTGTTCTTGGTATCCGCCACACAAATGTGTTCTCTGCCTTGATGGAGATGTTAGAACTGGACACCAATGAAGCAGTTCGTATCCAGGTCAGTAGAAGAACACTCCAGAGGGTTATAAGAGGGCTGGCTGGCTAGGTTCTTTGTATCATTTTGGCTGGTCGGTATTTTGGATGTGTTCTCTCCCATTGCAGGTTATCAGAGCCTTTTCCACTCTGGGAATTGATAATGTAAATGTAAGGAAGATCCTCACGAAGAAAAAACAAGGAGGAGGAATTCTGGGCAGGTATTATGAACACTATTAGAAGCTGTGACTTTAAAGCAAAGGTTTAGAATCGCATTTCCAACTCTAATTTGAGAACCAAAAAGGAACTTCGGGGCTCACCCTGATTTGAGTCCTGTATCTGAATATGTCCTGGTAACTATTTTGACATACAGTCCAGAGGCTGATATTGCCTTGATGACATCCTCAACCCTCTAGTGAGGCAGTTTTGTCTTTAGCTGTTCTAGTCTAAAAATAGCACTAAAGGCTGTTAGGATTTGAACAGTGGAAGATCAAGTGGTTTCAAGCTAGGTTCTCCTAGCGAACCCACCAGGGTATCTGAGCCAACTGCTGCCTCACAGACATGGAACGACAGACTCCCCTCCTGGCAGATCATTTTATTTATTTAATTTTTAAATCAAATTTATATGCTGCCCATCTCACTATCCCAAGTGCCTCTGGAGACACCTCTCAATTAACAATTAAGTTGAGGAGAAATAAAACTAGGATCCAGTTTATAGCAATTATGAAGAGGGAGGTTCAAAACACAAGAATTTCACTTGAATACCACGCCTTTAGATGAGAAATCTATATATACATAAACAATTTCTGATGAAAAAAAAATTCTTGTTCATTTCCTCTTCCTTTTTTTTTTTTTTTTGATAGGAAGGGCTGTCAACTTGCCTCTTTTGTGAAGGAGAGGCAGGCTGAATTTGTTCTTTATTTTGTTAATTGCTAGACATTTTATCAGGATAAGAAATAACTCTCAAACCAGATCAGCCTGAATGACAGTTCCCTAGTGATGGCTGCACAGTAAAGCAAGAGAATGAGGACTAATATTAAATGTTCAATGTGAATACATATTATTAATCTTATCTGCCTGGCTTCTGATTGTGTGGGATGGGGGGAAATCTGCTGAGTAGAGAAGAGGCTCCTTGCTCACTCTGCTTCTCCTGTGATCAAAAGTCTAGCAAGTAAAAAGCTGCCTTTTCCAGGTTCTCCTGCAAACAATTCTAGCTCTGCCCTAAACTCCTAAACCCGTGTTTCAAAATAGCATATGTCGTGGTGGTAGACGTAAAGCAGTTGTGAGGAGCTGCACCGTGATGAGAGGCTATTCCCGCAGCAATTATTCAGCTTTAAGCATGGGTTCACTGCTGTTCTGAAATGCACTAAACCCATACTCAAAAGCAACATGGCTTGGCTGAGTTTAGCTCTCTTTCAAAACAGTAAGGGATCAATGAAGCAGTCTGTGCTTGCTTCGCTACCCTACCTCCCTTGTGCCTTTCTGCTGTTTCTTAGATGCCTGATAGACACTCTCTGCTTCTCCTGCCACTGTTCCCTGCCCAGATCAGTCTAACTTAATGTCAGGGCTTGAAGTGGCAGCAGGAGAAGGAGGGAAAGATTGTTATTTATTTGCTATTTCTTGATATATGGGATCAGTGACCTGGCAGATAAAGAGCCATCTCCACAACTTATGCTGCCACATTTTCCTGCTTTATTGGGAAACCTGGTATCTGATCTGCCAGGGGCAGGGCTAACTCAGGGACATAGCTAACTCTCCAAACTCTGCATTTCCCCAAGTTGCAGTCCCAGCCCATGTAAGGCAAAGTGATGAGTGATTATAGTTCCCACTTGTAGGTGATGTTCAATGATAGGGAAAATTGAACTAGGACAATATTAGAACTGGAAACACAATGTCCTTCCAGTAGCATGGCAAAATATGATTGGGCAGTAAGGTAGCAAATTTGATGCCAACATGTTGGTGAACAATATTTTTAATCCAACCATTTGGCTGTGCCCTGTATCAAGTATGCTGTGTTTGCATCTGCACTGGGGTAGGATTAGTCACCTCTAATGTGTTTGCTAATGGTAGCCGGAGGGGTGTGTGTGCAGGGAATGGTGGGAACAAGCAGTGCAAGATACTGAGGGCTAAATTGTGCTTTAGGACAATCTATGACACTATTCAGTGTTTCACTGCATTGAGTACATAAAGTGGATCTGAAGACTTAAGTGGATAAGTACAAATCTGTCATTTGGGGACCAATGCCGTAAGAGAAGTCAAAAGTTATAGTTCAGCAGCATCAAATTTTCCATTGAAGGTACTAAGTCAGCAGGCAAACACTGCAATGGATGTAATCAAACATTTTTAATGTTTCTGAAATACATATCTCATAAGGGAATTTTGTTGGCAACCTTCTTTTCTATTTTTGTTTTTTGTTTCTGCTTTTCTTTTCCCCCTTTCTAACCTCTGCCTCCTTTTCCCAGGGAATCTAGCAAAGCCTTGGAGATACTTGACCGACGCGCAGAAATTCAGAAAGAGTTGATGGTCCACTCGTTTATAATCCAATGAAATGATCTTTTTTGGCATGCAGACACAAGTGGTGGATTAAAACATTGCCTCTGGGTTTCCAGTGTGCAGAACAGACAAAATATAGGGTCTGTCTTTGACAGGTGGGTTCAGGATACCATTTGCATTTGTGGGAGGTTCAGTAAATGCCAGATGTTCAGGCCATCTGTTTGAGGTTCTCTCTGTGCAGCCAGTTTTCCTGCAGGCTGTTGGCTCTACATTGTGGCTAATGTAATTCCAAGTTACATCTATCTTGCTGCTGTCACCTCAAGCAAATCACCAGGGTCAATTCTTCCTGAAACTATTGCCCAGGCAGGAAATGAAATCTAACTAGGAAAGAGCCCTGAAGGTACATCAGCTCTACTTTTGACCAGGAACCCTTCTTAAAATTTTGTTCCATAACACTAAAAATCAGAGTAAAGCTTTTGCTTTGGACAAAAGAGTTTTGAATTCTGGAGAAGCTGAAATTCAAGTCAACAGATTATTTGATATAGATAGAAATGCACAGGAAGAAAGGCTGCATTTAGGAAGACTGAGCTTCCAATCCACACAATGGCACATATTGCCTTCGTGTTTAAATGTTTTTCCTTCTTGCCAATTGGTACTATTTCTGGCCACTAATTGCCCCAGCAAATGCAGAACTACATTTTTTTCCTGGCCATAGTGAGTTGTTGAGCCTGCTTGCTTTGACTCTTAGCAAAGGGCTACCTTCCAGGAGAGGGATGGTGACTACTTGAAAGGAAAAAGGATCATAAAAGAAAATAGGACTATGGTCTTGAGCAGAGGATCTCCAAACTTGGTGACTTTAAGACCTGTGGACTTTAGTTCCAGGGATTCCTCAGCCAACCACGCTGGCTGGGGAATTCCACAAGTCTTAAAGCTCTAAATTAGGAGCCCTCTAATCTTAAGGACTCGTTGGATGAAAAAATGGAAGCGCATGGCAGTGCATTGAGTGGGACATTTTGTGTTTCCTTGGGATTGTTAAAAGTCAGCCTTCTTTGCCATTCCAAATAGAGGCTTGGCTGGAAACATCTATGTTGCTATGGCTGGGTCTCCGCTGCTGCACTTCTGAAATAACCAGCATGGAATAAGAAGCTTCATAATCAAAACCCGATTTTTTTTTTTTTAAAAAAAAATGCAAATAAATATTTAAATGGAACTCAGCCTGCATCAGTGTAAAGCAGCATGAATACATATTTTTCATCATGTTTAATTAAAATAGCACTTAAGTTTTGTAAAAACAAATATGTGCCAAATATTAATATGTTTGCAATTGATTGAATGATGGGAAGATGGGGATATAGTTTACTTCTTAGTGAGTAGTGAGAATAGGTGTTGTATCCACTGGACACCTTAATTCAAGGGGGTTGAAACTTTTTATTTTGGCAGAGTTAATATTAACGTAGAGTTAAAGGGGAGGGAACAACCACACCATCCCTTTTTGTCCTGAAGACAATGGGCGTGAATTTTCTGGCAGCAAGAATTTATTAAAGATAGTTCACCCATCTTGCAATAGGCAAATGTTTCAAGCTTGCTCCGGGGAATACTGAGAATTTGGAGAGCATGCTATGGGCTCCTTTTACAAATTGGTTGCCACAAGAACTTTATTGAATCATGAATGATTCTCATAGGTGTGCCTGGCTAATTCTGGCAGATCCATTTCCCCAAAGGTAAAGTGTTGGTGTTGCTCATGCCATTTTCTTTGGCTACCACCCACCTCCAATTGCACTCTGCTATTGTAGCTTAGCTTTTTTTTTTTTTTGTAGGCTTTTCTAAACACAGCAGTGAATTGCAATAGTGTTTATATTTTAAAAACACTTATCCACTAGTGACTTAATAGCATAGTCTCGCTAGAGATTACCCAGCCTTTTCTCAATATTTCTCTGTTGGCCCAATGATGGTTAGATCACTCTAGAAGCTGCTTTTTAGAGCATGGCGGGAATCCTCACTATGGTTTTAGCTGGGATAAAGGAGCATTCTTTAAAACAAAGATATTAGAGGCCGATGCTTGCTTTTTGTCTACCAAATACCTCCCTCTTTTTTTTTAATTGAAATCATATTTTTAAAAATTAAGTCAAGAAGAACAGGGGTCTGGTTGGAAAGTATTTCTGGGCATCCTATCCTCCTGGGTTTCATTTCTCTGACTTACCACAATCAATTTCCCCAAAGATTTTCGGTCACTTGCAAGAATCTATTGCTTAATTAGCTTTGGGATAAACTTCAACAATCCTATGAAATCCCACAGCATTATAGCATATGCTGCAGTCAGTAATATTATCTTTATTTGCTGGACCCCTTCCATATTCTGCAAGGAGCAGAGAATGGAACTAGTTTGAGAAATCCAGCGACCAAAGAGATGTTATCTGAAAGTCTACTATTAGACAATGATTTTCCAAGCCACTAGTGGAAACTTCACTTTGGCCATTGAATGGGAACTCAGAGGTGCTATTTTGCTTCATCCTCCCAACTTAGTTTCCTTAAGAGAGAAGCAGCATGAGCTGGAAGGTGTTTGTCATCTAGCCATGTTGTAAGCATGCCAGTAAAAGCAAAAACAGTCCCTACATTTTAAGTCTTGACAAAGTTTAGAGGGGTGATTCACTACAATATCTTAATACTGATTTTCATGCCACCTCCTATTGCATAATTTAGAACTTCCCCATTGCAACAGCCTTTACTTCTGAGATGTGAAAATTTGCACTATTCTCTTGTTATTGAAAGCAACCTGACTGTCCACATTTTCATGCCTTCATAATGGGAAAATGTCAGCATCACAAAATCCCCTTAGTATTGGCCACATTCCCCTCTCTCCCCTTTGGATAGTAATTTATCTTGGAGCTTCTTTTAGGAAAAAAAAACTCAGAATCTAGGCAGCAGAATTCATGATCTCTTCTAGAAGGCTACTGAGCTCCAGAGCATTCTTCAGAAAAGAAAGGAATGAACGGCTGGGATTTTCTCTTCCTTTGAAAGTGCCCAAGCAGTGCAAAATGAATTCATATTCACATAACTGAAAGTTTGATCACCTTTGATCAAAAAACCTAAGATGTGATGGATTCTGTTTTTCCAATTTATTTTGGAATAAAATAATTTGACAGTGAGAACAACCTCTGACAGTGAGACCAATGGAACAGAAGTTGCCCTCGGAAGTTGTGGGAGCGCCATCACTTGAGACTTTCAAGAAGAGATTGGACTGCCATCTGTCAGAAATGGTGTAGGGTCTCCCGCTTGGGCAGGGGGTTGGACTAGATGACCTACAAGGTCCCTTGCAACTCTGATTATCTGTTATCTGGATTAAGTAGAATACAGATTTTTAAAATAAATTCCCATTTCTGCAGAATTCACCCCCGTCTTTCAATAATGGGAAGCTAAAATGAAATAAACACACTTGGAACCTAGGGTTATAAATGTAAGTTTATTTTAAAGTCTCCAACACAATAAATCCATAATCAGTTCTTCTAAGTGAAAGAACATTCAGAGACTGTAATTACAGCATACACATTCATATTTGGTGATAAGCATGATTGAAAAAAGACTGAATAGGCTTTTACAGAACTGAACTACAAATGGCCCAAACTCCAGATCAGACAAGGGAAGCAGAGATCTGAACAATTAATTACATACCGTTTGTTGTTAAAGACAAGCTAACTGTCTAATAGGATGAAACATTTGAAAAATGAATGCTAAAACCACTTAATAACTTGGAATGGTTACATTTGTTTGCTTTCTCATGATTGGTAGATTGAAAATGTTTTCCTGAGATGGATGCAATGGACAGAAATCAGCAGGAAAAATTAGGCAGATAAAAAAAGAGGCTTGGGCAGTAAATTCCACTGGAATTAACTATGCCTAGAACTAGACACATAGTTCTGTTGCCCATCAACATGGACACTTCTCTACCTTTAAAAAAAGTTTGAGATGCTTAGGAACTTTTTACTTATCTGATTCCCCAACCTCCCTCCTTCCTTTTCAATTGAGCCTCATCATTTTTCTTTTGCCAGTTTGGTCAGCGCTGATAACATGGTCACTTGTAACAAGGAATCTAATCATTATGAACTTAATCTAGGGATTATGGATGTATCTGACATTTTAAAAAGAGGGTGAGAGCCACCATGACGGGACCAGGTCACGTATCTGGGCAGCATCTCTTTTTTAAATTGAAACTCTAATTTAGGACCTCCATTACAATTTTTATTCATTTCCTGCCACAAAATGATGGGAATCTCTGCCAAAGTGTCATTTCTTGCCACAAAAATGGGGCCTGGATGGGAGATGCAGGCAATTTGAGAATCTCAGGTATGGTTGTTGCCTGACTGTTCTTCTTAACAAGTAAGTGGTCTTGCTGGTATGAGCTGAAACAGAATACTGTCCTGCACTTTACTTGTTTTATGACGTCCTTGCAATGGCTTCATTAATAATAATGAATATCTACCCATGTAATATGGCTGTATTATTATTATTCTCCTCATCTGCTTTGCTAACTTTTCTTATTGGTATCATATTATGATTATTAATAGTTTGCTATGATTATTATTACTTCGTTGTTTTGCATGTACACTGAAAGCTTATGCACCAAGGACAAATTGCTTGTTTGTCCAATCACACTTGGGCAATAAGGCATTCTGTTCTGTTTTCTTCTGTTCTCTTCTGTTCTGTTCTGTTCCATTCCATTCCATTATTCTACTCCACTCTTCTTTATCCTGCTCTGCTCCACTCTGCTTCGCTCTGTTCCATTCCATTCCGTTCTGCTCCATTCCTTCCCTTCCCTCCTTCCATTCCATGCTGTTATTCTACTCTACTCTACTCTACTCTACTCTACTCTACTCTACTCTACTCTACTCTACTCTACTCTACTCTACTCTACCCTGCCCTGCCCTGCCCTACCCTGCTCCACTCCACTCCACTCCACTCCACTCCATTCCATTCCATTCCACTCCATTCCATTCCATTCCAATATTTAATGTGTAGTCCAATAGCCGTCCTTACATATGCACAGCATTCATTCTTGC